TTTAGATGAAATAATATTATTCACATCAAATAAAGGTCTTCAGAATGATAGAAATTATTGAATGCAATCCATTACTCCCCCTTATGCTGGCCATTTCAGTCAATGATTTCTGGGCAACTTCCTTGAGGTGGAGGGATTTGGAACAGGTTGAGAGGGTTAGAAGTGGGGGAGGCTGGCGGCTTTCTGCTTTATAACAATGAAACTCAGCAACATGAAAATCCTCAAAATGTAGACTTCTCAGGCCAAATTCCCCATGCCTCTTAAACGCAGCTACATATCAAAGCGTTGTGGGTACTAAGGAGCGGAGATTCGCAACATAAAAGGTTTTAAAAACTGTTAAATGTCCAAAATTGCAAATTAGGTGTCTGTGGGCTTATCTTATTGTACATCCATATCTATTTGTGATCAAATGAGCATTAGGATCCAAGCAAAATGAATTAGTAATTCTGCGCAGAAAATGAGGTTTGATTTACGACATGAACGTCACGCCCTGGCACCGTCTGAAACTCTTTTACGGTTTCTTCAAATTGAAATTGACCCTCTTTTCTCAAAGAGTGTAATTTAAAACACCTTACAACCAATTATCTCCAAATGAAATTATTTAACATGTACACAAGACAAGGTTCATTTGCTAATGAAGACCGTAACAATTTGTGAAGGTGTTTATAGAATTACCAATATTTATTCAACAGAAATCTATTGAATTGAGGCTAAAAGCCAGTGCTATGGTGCACCTTTCAATCTGTCTTTGTTTGCTTGTTTTTAATAATTAATGAGGCTTCCAATATTGCAGATGAATGAATGTTAACAGACACAGTAAGATGTGGCTAGATATAAAGAAGTCTTGAAAATTTATTGGAGGCAAAAAAAAAAAAAAGGATTTACTCTGTATTCTTTGTTAATAAAGCACGAGTACTTGTAAGCATTAACTAATATTTCTGGGTCCTGAGTTTTAATCCCTTTCAATAAACCCGTTGGTCTCTTCAATGGAACGGTCATTGTCTACTGCCATATTAATTTGAGTTTGGAAAGGGAGCCTGCCATGTTGGGTCCATGAGACCCTCTATGTTCTAAAGGAGAGCCACCCTATGTTTTCCTATATGGGTGGAAATCATCATGGTGGGGGCAACTTCACAAGACTTGCATTCTGCCTGCCTTTAGTCCACACCCTGATTTCCACACCCTGAGTCCAGGAGAACCCAGTTCAAGAAATTAGGAACAGAAGCAATTGCATTGTCTACTTTGGAAATCGGTTAAATGTGTTCCTTAAAAAGAAGATACTCCTTTCTTTTTGGTGAAGCATTCTTGGCATCTTGATTTGGTTTTAAATTTGTCTCTATCCATAGCAGTGTGTGTGTGTGTGTGTGTGTGTGTGTGTGTGTGTGTGTATTTTCCCCTTCCTCTTCCCCAATCAAAAGCACCAAAAACTCTCTTTGGAGAACACATCCATTACAGAAATTTGAGAGACTCGGCTTCTTTTAAATACAGGTCCCGGACTTTGTCGGACATGTTTATGTTTATGCAGAATTCGGGGATGCACCCTCTCCGATTTCCTTCCTACAGTCGTGAGAAGTAGGCACGGAAGGTACATATATGTGCACACAGAAGCCAATGACGTCTCAAGTTCCCCAAATACTGCTTTAGACCAAATCTCCAGTCTTCCACCATCACGTAGCCACGCAGAACCCCAGTGGTTTTGCGATGAAGGGGACGTTCAGTAAGTGAAAGCTGATATTTGTGAAAGAGACTATTTTATACAAAATCCTTCATGAAGGAAAAGAAATATACATGACGGATGATATCAGCAAGGAGCTTGACCTTAACCTGGGAAAGAATATGTAGAAGGAGAGATTTTGCTGTAGTCCTTCTGGACAGAAACTCTTGGTTTAAATCTGTGAAGATACCTGGCTGGAACAGACTGCTTTCCACCTCATAAAATCTGTCTGTGTTTGTGTTTATACTGGCGACCTGCCATCCTGTTTGGGTAAACACCTACGCCTTTACGCCAATTCAAAGGTGGCTGTTGTGGTCCAGTGAACAGCACATAGATGAGGCGGGCAGAAAAGTCCGAATGCCCCATTAATTTCGACGCTCTGAGAAATGTGTAATGCTCATAGCATTTGACCTTCCTGGGGCACCTCGGAGATTTCAGGCAAAGAAAAGGAACCTCCATTTTGTAATCCGTTAGTTAACGCAAACCGAAAGATTTCTATCAGCTATCTTGTGGCAATATCTGTCCGTTACCAAGCTTTCTGCATAAGTAAACGCTACCCCAAAAGATTGTCCATCTAGAGGATGCTACCAGGGTTAGAGGCAAACGGGACGACTGTATTAAAATGCATGGAGTTGATCATGTTCAAGTACGAACGCATTCGTTCTCAGTTTCGGGAGGGTGACCAAAACTGAAGAAACGGCTGATCCACATGCCCAGATGTGTGAGAAACAGACAAATGCAAACGTGTGTGTGCCTACAGCAATACCTATAGTCAGGGTGGGGGTTTCTCAGCAGCCCAGACGCAAGGGTCACCTCTAAGATCAGACAAGAGGCAGGTAGAGGGAAGCCAGATGTTGGAGGAGGCCCCACAGTGCGGGGCACTCCAGGAAATCTTCCAGGATAAAGGAGCAAAAGCCTTGGCAACAGGGCACCAGGCAGTTATCAAGGAGAAAATAAAATGTTGGCTATGCGGGCTCGGGCTATAACCCAAGAGGAGAATGTGGGGTCAGCGATCCCCAATCAAACTCATTCCCTTGTGCCAGCTAGATTAGATCAGCAACATTGGAAGGGGTTGCTTCCAAGTGAGACCAGCGGGCAGGCAGACTTGATTTGGCCACATGGCAGCATCTGAGAGGAATGAAGAGTCTGGAAGCTGGCATCCACCCCCACTGCCAGGGGAAACAGTATAAAACCTATCAAGAGCTAAATGCACATCCCTCACCAGGGAGAGAGAGCAAAGGCTCTATCAGGCAAGTAACAGGATCTCAAGTAAATGGACACACGAAACGTGTACCATGCCATCAACCAATACAATGAAATAGAAAGTGGAAAGGATAATGGCAGATGCCTCTTGAAGCGATGCTAGGAAATTTAATTTAATACAGGGAAGCGTATATCCCACTTTAATAAAGAAGTGAATTCCTAACCTAGGGGATGGCCAACATTTTCTGCAAAGTGCCAAAACACTGCACCTAATGACTTTGCCGGTCGTACGGTCTGGGTGACGACTGCTCAACTCTGGCACTGCAGCAGGACGGCAGCCACAGAAATCCGTAAGAGGATGGGCTTGGCTGTGTGCCAGTAAAACTTTATGTACACCCACATCAGTTGGGCCCCAATTGGTCTCTACGCTGTGATTCGCTGGCTATTACTGTGTATTCTTGAGAGAGAGAGAGACAGACAGAACATGAGTGGAGAGAGGGGCAGAGAGAGAGGGAGACGCAGAATCCGAAGCAGGCTCCAGAGCCATCAGCACAGAGCCCGACACGGGGCTCGAACTCACAAACTGCGAGATCATGGCCTGAGCCCAAGTCTGATGCTCAACGTACTGAGCCACCCAGGCGCCCCTCACAGCATCACCATCTTATGGGAGATGAGACACTCAGCCCCCCAACACCCAAGACCTGTGGAAACAGAAGCTGTGTTTGTTACAAGACGCCCAAGAGAACGTTATAGAACGCACTGCAGTCTGTTGTCTTATGCTCCGTCACCTTGTAAGATTCAGGGGAAGTAAAGTTGCAATGTGCGTGTTGCACGCACTTACACACACATACACACACACACACACGCACACACAATGTTTGCAAAGCACTGCTCCAACACTTGGTTATTAATGGTGTTAACCTGCTCATCAGAGGAAATCTGCTCATCAGAGGAAATGTCTTCATTGTTGAGACTACCTTAAACATCGTTATGAAAGTCTCAAAGGGGAGAAAACAACTAAAAGTCAACTCCATAAGAAAAAGTACTAAAAGTCGGTAAAGAATAATCTGTGTGGTCAACAGCGTGTCTCCAGTGAGCCGTGACTGAAAGGCAGGGCCCCCCTTCCACATCTTCCACGAATGTGATGTCCTGCACGACAGGACACCGTCACCATCAGGGTTATTCCTGCTGCCAGGCTCCCACCGCTCTGGCCTTGGGAGGCAGGAGGGGAAGGGTGTCCGCAGAAGTGAGCAGCAACCACGCGTGCGAAGACCGAGAAGTGGGACAGCGGGAGAAGGGGGCGCCAGACTGTCTGGATGTCCACACAGTCGCATACATCTCTACGCCTGTGTCTACGCCTACTTCCACTTCGACACCTGTATCTCTACCATTGTGGACTGCAGGACCTTCAGAGAAGTCCCTCTCAAGGAACTTCACACCTGCCGGCCTTCTTCAGACGCACCAGAATGTTCTAGCTGCACGGTTAGCCACAACACACGTGATCGCCGGCCCCGAAACACTCCCTGCTCTGCATAACCCAGATAAGGGATCGCCTGCAGGACTCTCAGGAAAAAGGAGAACTGTACCTCTTACCATAAATTTTCAGGACTCTTGTTCATAGGATTTATGGGCCAGAACTTAACTCGCACCTCCGCAGACACGGAGCTATGGGCAGAAGAGGGAGAAATGCCGCAGAGTGGAAAAAATAAACAGCTATCGTGGTCGTAATTACTGAGTAAACTGTATTCCACGTGGCCTGTTGAGACACATGTGCCCTTCTCCTCCTGTTTCAAAAGGTTTGTTCCTGTGTGCTTGAAAATGGTTTTGTTTTGTTTTTTCCCCTTTCATCATGCTCGGGAATCAGTTCCATTTGCATGGTTACGTAGAAGTGGAAACAAAGAGGAATCTTTTGGAACATGGAGAAGATAAAGGGTTGACCCTTCTGTTATGCAATCTTACAAGGATAATGTGCATGTGAGCACGCGCACACACATATGCACATAAAATGTCATAATCCTACACATTCCACGCACCTAGGACAAGTAAGCTATCACAGCCATGCGATGAACCAATAGTCACCTACCTGAACACTGTCATCCAGCTGATGGGTAAAAATTCCAGTAAGAAAAAAGAATCCTGGGGCGCCTGGGTGACTCGGTCAGTTAAGCGACCGACTTCAGCTCAGGTCACGATCTCAAGGTCTGTGAGTTCGAGCCCCGCGTTGGGCTCAGTGCTGACAGCTCAGAGCCTGGAGCTTGCTTCTGACTTAGTGTCTCACTCTCTCTCTGCGTGTCCCCCGCTGATACGCTGTCTCTCTAAAATAAATAAACATTGAAACCATTAAAAAAAAAAAACCCATTCCATCTCTCCTGTTGACGATTTCTAACAAAACTAATGAACCTAACTCAACCAACACAGCAAACAGCAAAGTGAAAAATAAGGAAACTTGGTGCTATGTCCCCATCGAAATGCACACAAAAATACTTTAAAAAAGCGAGATTTAATTAAAAAAAGAGTGCATCTCTCTATAAATAACCTCAATCCTGTTGTGTTGAAGTCAAGTGTGTAGTGAAAAGGGGGAAAAGGGAGAAAGGAAGATCTTTTTTTTTTTTTATTTTTTAAAAAAAAAATTTTTTTTTTTCAACGTTTTATTTATTTTTGGGACAGAGAGAGACAGAGCATGAGCGGGGGAGGGGCAGAGAGAGAGGGAGACACAGAATCGGAAACAGGCTCCAGGCTCCGAGCCATCAGCCCAGAGCCCGACGCGGGGCTCGAACTCACGGACCGCGAGATCGTGACCTGGCTGAAGTCGGACGCCCAACCGACTGTGCCACCCAGGCGCCCCGGGAGAAAGGAAGATCTTACTACAGAATAGAATGAAGGCTGTAATTCCTGTGAAATGGTGAGCTGGACCCAGAACACATTCAAGTGTTTGGAGCTCTCCCAAACCCCACCTCTGCATCCCCATCACTTAATGCTTCTCGAAAGACACATCTTCAATTCTCATTCCTCTCTTGCTTCTCCAGGCTTCTCTTAGAGCAGCCACTGGAAAAAGGTCACTGAGGCTTTCAACAGTTAGCCTGTTGTTGCTAAACTCTCTGGTCAAGGCACAGCACTGACCTTGTGAGACCCACAGCTCTGTGATTATATCCCTGAATTCTGAGTGAGCGCAACGCGCAGGGTCTCCTTGCCAGCTTTCAACCCACAACGGAGGAGGCGAGACACGTACATCTTTGCTGACTTAGCTATGGAGAAGGGGATGGTCGCTCACAGAAGCGTCACCATGGCCACCTGTCCAAAGCTTCACTGTTCCCAAGACTGTGCAATAATACCTTGCCACACTTGCAAGAAATTCATCAAATACAGATGGATGGGGAAATCCCTAGGTGTCTTTTACTCTGTCTTGTTTTAAGCATCCTTGTTGCTTCTACTGGGTTCTCCCAATGTCCAGAATTCACTGCCTTAAAATGTGCCCACTATTTACTTAAAGAGAACGTGCCAGCTGAATGCTAGGTTGGGTAATTCACAATAAAGCATATTAACTTAAAGATTTGCCCATTGAAGAATTATTTGCCTAGTAACATAATCCCTTAAGAATAAATGCCAATAGTTAAATTTCAGGTGGTGAACAATGGGTGCTTCAAAGATTTCGAGGAATGATCTCAAGGTACACTAAAATGTTAAAAAAAAAAAAAAAAAGCCTTAGCCTTATTTTAGAGAATCAATTCAAGTTTCAATCAATGTTTGATTAAATCTGCATACACGTTTAAATCCTATTTGTGGGAAGAGATCAATGTGGAATAATTTAAGTGATTATTTTTATTTAAATATATGTAATAGATCTCTACACAAATTATAACTAAGATTTATGTCTTACCTGTACAGTTTAACTCAGAACACGTGAATGGATGGTGGTGAAAATTTAGAGGGAAAGGAGATTATTGCTGATTTCCTACAGAAATAAGGTTTCACACCAACAAGCTCCAGAAGCAACCACTAAAACTCCTGGATTATGAAAAAGAAAAGAAGAAAGGAAAGGAAAGGAAAGGAAAGGAAAGGAAAGAAAAAAGAATCCACCTAGATAGCTATGGTAAGGCCAACAGAGCTTGGGTGTGGAATAAAATTGTACTATAAAGTAGCATCAATTATTAATAGCATTTTTTCATATTCTAGATGGAAATGCAATGCATTTTTCAAGAGGAGATGCTACAAATATATATCAGCAATGGTCTCTGGTGGAATAAAATGTTTGCTAGCAATATACAGAAAATAGGTATGAAATGGACACCGTTAACGCATTTTGGGGCATTTATGTGTTATGTAATGGATGCCATTTTATATCCCACCTTATTGTGTTGGGGTTTAATTCAACTGAGTCCTAACCATTGCTAGGTAAGTGATGTTAGGCACGTTCCTCTGTCTGTTGGGGCCTGTTTCCCCCTACATAAAAGAAAAATAAGCTAATTGGATAAATATGTGCATTTCAGAGCTCTGCCACAAGGTTCTTATCTGCTCAAAAGAGAAGAACAAGATGTAGAAGATATGACCTGTCTGGAAAATGGGTCGTCACAAATCCTCCAACCTTGCCTGCCATGAGGACCCTCAGTCCTTTCTTGAAGTCTGTCCTATGAAGAGCAGTTCCAAAGAACACTCAGACAATTAACTGGACAAGCCGAGGAGGTGATTTAGCGTCTTTTTTTCCAAAGAGATTGAAGTAGATCAAGGTTGGAGTTAAGATTTTCCAGGCTTTTGCCAGCAACCTGCCTGAATCTCTTTGGTATGGGACTACAGCAGATTCCTGTTATGTGTCATTGGTGACATTTGGCTCAACAATGATAGATAGATGGTGGGTGGATAGATAGATTAGATAGATAGATAGATAGATAGATAGATAGATAGATAGACAGATAGACAGGATGGATGGGTGGGTGGATGGATGGATGGATGGATGGGTGGATGGGTGGATGGATAGATAGGCAGATAATAGTTGGTTGAGGATACACGGTAGGTGATAGATGGCAGATAGGTGAGAGAATACACCAAGTCAACCATGACAGTTTAGTATACAAAGCAACATACTTTCCAGCTCTACTGAGGTACCGTGGACGTACAATAATCCCCCCCTTTTTTTTTAAATTTTTTTTTAACGTTTATTTATTTTTGAGACAGAGAGAGACAGAGCATGAACGGGGGAGGGTCAGAGAGAGGGAGACACAGAATCCGAAACAGGCTCCAGGCTCCGAGCTGTCAGCAGAGAGCCCGATGCGGGGCTCGAACTCACGGACCGCGAGATCGTGACCCAAGCCAAAGTCAGATGCTTAACTGACTGAGCCACCCAGGCGCCCCAATCCCCCCTTTTTTAAAGTGTGTAAACTTCTGTTAATTGTATAATTGGGGGTAACTACTGCCACAATGAAGACATAAGCATGCTAACAAGTTCCTCTAGCCCTTTGTGGCCAACCCTTCCACATTACTCCCAGCCCCGGGCCAACATGGAGAACATGGACAGTCCTGTAGCTTTGTCTTCTCTAGAATTTCATATAAATGGCAGCATGAGTGTAGGTAGACGTCGGTGCCTGACTTCTTTCAGTCAGCCTAGTTTCCAAAACTCATCTCTGTTGTTGCATTTACTAGTGCTATGTTCCTTTGATTAGTGAATACTGTTCATTGTATAAATGGGTAAACAAAATATGTTTATGCATTCAGTTCTTGATGAACACATGGCTTGCTTCCAATTTTTTTGTGTGTGCTATTTTGAATAAAAATACTATGAATTCATGGGCACATCTTGGGTAGACATATGTTGTCACATTTGTGGTGGATACCTAGGATTGGCATTACACGGCCGTATGATTAATATGTGTTCATATTTGATACAGTCTGTTTTCCAAATGGGTAAAACATACTATAAATTGTTGACTTCTTGAAGTTTATATTTTTAACACTTGATTACAAATGTCAGCAAATAGTGCGGTTACTATTAAGGTTTGACTGGTCTAAGAAAAGTTTTAATTTATTTCTTTTTAAAATAAATTTTATTACCTGAGGGGTTATATGTTATATATATATAACACATGGTTAGTCAAATGCTTAATGTAAGAAAAACTGTACACAAACATTTAATTTCTCCCAGGACCACAGAATTCTTCAGAACAGTTAATCCAGACTTCAGAGACTAATACTGCAAACATACATCTCCAATAGATGGCATATCCTAATTTACCACCTTATTATCTGTAAAAATTCAGCATATATCGAACAGACATTTCGAAGACAGATGGTTCTTAAAATTTATCCTATTTGATTTTAGATCACAGCGTGTGTGTCAAAAGAACACAAACTCAATAATCATCGCCTCTGGAGTTACTTTCTCTGTTCCATGCCCTTGAAGTGTGTAATAAATAATTTTCAAGAATGGATGACTAATTTTCCATGCACCAATTTCCTTTTCTCCAATTTTTCTCTGTGATGTTCAGATTCTTTTCATTCATCACGATAGTGAGTAAGACTCCCATAGACGGTTGGAAACCAGTGAGGAGGGACACAGTTGGTGTCTGAGATAATTTTTTAAAAAGGTGACAGTTTGCTCTGCAAGATAATTTAAGATGAAGAACCATTTTCTAAAATGTGTCCCTTTGCAGAAGGCAGAGTTCAGTGTTCTTCAAAATGATTCATTGATGAGACTCGTTATTTGCCTTGTAGTATGACATCTTCATGGGGTACCAATTTATTGTGGGAGTGTTTGATGATAGATGACGGTGTGATGAGTTACACCGAAAAAGACGTTAAGCCCAACCTCAGCATGTTGTGTCAGTATTTGTTGATTCTGCTTTAGACTGCCCACGTGGTTACCTGTTTTCAGAGGTGGCCAAAAATATCCAGATGGATAATTACACGTTGAAGTACAACACCCATGGTATATTTGCCTGTCAATCAATCTATGGCCTCGGATGAAATTCAATGCCAATGTTTTACGACGCTCCCCAAAGTGACCGTGATGATGCTTTCCTCTTTTGTAAGGCAAATTATATTCTGTTTATCATTCCTGATTGGACAAATTAAATCTAATTGAGTCTTCTTTAGTCAAGGAATGATTATTTTGTGCTTTCTACAGGAGCCGATTTTTCCCAGAGAAGCAAGGTCAATCTAAACAATTAAAAGAATTAGTGGCTGTACTGTTTGAATATGCAATTTCA